TCGTTGTGTTGAAGTAAATATTAAGGTTTAAACGGGTTCCAATGGCATATGCCAGTCATTCGACGTCAGAGTGATATGCATACTACCCAATAAACAATACAGTTACAACGAGCCTACCGATGAGTCTTTCAATAGGTCTTATTCACAATTCACCCTTTTTTTCTACGATCTCAAATGCTACAGTATGTTTTGTTTCTCCCCTCGACAAAGTTGCGAAAGCGAGAATAAGGTGCTGTTTCCAAAAAAGTATAGGCTTGTGATAAGAAAGGTCAAAGATGTTTGGTTTGCAGCTGTATAATCATTGGCATATCTTATTTCAACGGAGACTATTTGGCTTTGCCCTGTAATTCGTAGCTCACATGGCTAATTCAATTTGAAACTTTTGATAATTTATATGTTAAAGTTTGTGTTTAGGTCAGTTTAGTGGAACCACTCATGCTATTGTATTAAATTTGCAATTGTATTAGCATTGAGAATTCCCATTTCCAGGGAGATTATTTTGTCTTGCATTTTCAGCCATGGTTAATTGTGTTTGAATGTTTTGCATAGTCTACATGATAAATTTATTGCTATTCTAATTTTGAAATGTGCATTATGCTATCAAAATTAATATATGCGAGATATATCTCTGTGTCACCAGTATATTTATGTTTTGTACACTGCTGTTGTCTCTTCGTCATTTATCGATTTTTGCAATGATGTTTATTGGTTTCTCTTCAAATTATGAGTATTGATTGTTATCTTCCGCCTCTTTGTTTTTTTACAAAACGGGATAGTTAAATAGTTCTGTATATTTCTACATCCTCCCTTTCCAATGATAGGCTAGAGCGTTCCATGTGAAGGTAAATCAAGAAAAACGCTGAAGACGCATAAAATTTATAAAGTGCTATTTTCATTTTCTACTTAAAGTCTTCTTAAGGTTCTTACAACTTATTAACATTCATGTAAGCCTTCAAAAACATTGTGAATGAATAAAATCTAGCAGTAGTGTGCATTAAACATATAGTATTCAATAACAGTTATTTACATTTTACAGTATTATCGAAACATTCGATTTCTCTACACTACACTATCACGTTTATACCTTACGATTAAATTCTGTCCCAGAACCAATTCCAATCAGTGCACTGTTACTGTTGCCTGACATTATATGCAATTACGAACATATTGCGTAAATATTTTTTCTCTGGCATACCGCCCTACACTTCCGGCAACATTTGTTAATAAATCTGGTTTTTCTGTCATATGGCAAAATCCTAGGTATTTTATTCATATTATTGGCGACTTTGGTCCTTTTGATTAAATTACTTCCTTCAGTTGTAGATTGAAAACATAAAATATATCACATTTGCGGATAATCCAGTCATTTTCCGTCTTGGATCTAAATATAACGTGTCTTTAAAAACTTTCTTTAGCGAATATGTAAAGATATGTTGTGTAATTCTATGGAAAATGCTTATAATGTGACAATGAAAATGGGAAGGATGAAATCATCATGTTTTCAAAAGAATTTGGTCGACAATTAAAGAAAGAAAGTAAGATAAAAGTTTTTTAACCTGAAAATTTAACCTGAAAGGTGTTTCCCTATATGCGGACTAATCATGAACAATTTCTTCTTGTATCTTGATTTTTTTTTAATCTTGCTTTTTTGCTATTTCTCGTTATTTTAAAAAGCAATTATACTACGGTTACGCTTCCAGTTTTTAAACTGAATAGGCCAACAGTTTTCATAGTAAGTAGACAATTATCATTTGTACACGAACAGAAGGCAACAAACATGTTCAATTCATTTATATGCGGACAAATTGTCGATGCGACTTAGGAATTTGCATATTTGGATTTTTACTCCTATTGTAATGGCTAACCTGGTGATAAGGGAATATGGCCGATATGCAGATTACCAAAGAACGTTGCCATATGGTTTCGATTATTCGATTAATCAAAGGAAACAGTAATTCCCGATGTCCAAAATCCCATAAATTCATTAATAAGATACATATCAATGAAAAAATCAAGAACTGGGGGATTCGTATGAACTCCAGAAGGAGCGGGACCAAGTACGTCGATAGAGAAGTCGTCTCCTGTTGTACATAAATCATCCGCCATGCAAACAACCCACACTCGGTCAAAATGTCCCAATTAGGAATGTGATTTACTGATCAGAGTACGTCACAAAATGACAATTTATCTTTTTAACGCATTGTTGTATAATACGCGCGTGTGTACATGACGTCATTGCTTTATAAAGCTCACGTGAAAGTTTCAATAATAGTTTTCAGGCAAATGTAATTCAATATATTTAAAACACTCAACACCTCGTTTCTGGGATGTGTAGTTTGATGTACCTTATCATGTGATAATACCTATCACGTGATATTAATTAAAGCATTTTTTAGTCAACATGGCGATAAATTTTAACAATTTCCCGGTGCCAAAATTGAAGGATAACCTTCGATATATATATATATATACACAGACTTATTTCTTCTACCAAACACAATGAAAGAAAACAAATAGAGCTTACACAGTACCGTCATGATCTTAAATAGGATGTGATTTCAGAGAAATACATCAAAATTATCTGCAAAGGGCGACGCGACGAAGAAGTGTTACATAATGAAGATAGACTTTGAAACTCACCATAACTTGACACTATAGTACACTCAAACAGTGAAACTCAACCTGGATTACGTGGAAGAGACTGCTATGGATTGTTTTTTTTACAACGGTGAACGGCAGAGAAATATCAGTAGCGACTTTGACATAGAGTTTCCAAAGATTGTTGACATATCTTTCTAGTTCTTTAACTATGGTAATGCAAACATTTCTAAATTAGATAGCGATTGCACTACATTTATCTTCAGTTCTGTACAATAAAATGGTCCACATGAGATAGTTGTACGTTATCATTTGGTGTCCTGAGTCATGCAATAGTTGTAGTTATCATTTAGTGTCCTGAGTCATGCATGTTCAACCCCGTTACATTCTTTATGTCCCTATCCCAAGCCAGGAGCCTGTAGTTCAGTTGTTGTCGTTGGTTCACGTCTGTCATATTTGTTTTTCGTAAATTGTTTTATTATAAATTAGGCCGTTAGTTTTCTCGATTGAATTGTTTCATATTTTTCATGTCGGGGCCTTTTATAGTCGACTATACGGTATGGGTTTTTCTCATTGTTGAAGGCCGTACGGCTGCCTATAATTGCTTACATCCATTTTTTTTAACTATGGTGGATAGTTGTCTCATTGGCAATCATACATCTCCTTATTTTTATATGTACAAATTTTAAGACCTGTTTACCAATGAAAAGGCGCACAAGGGATCGAAACTAAATATAAAGAAATGAGAAAGGGTAGTATTTTAAATGAGACAAATATCCAACTGACCATAAAACAATGAATGAGGATGTACAGCCTTTAATGATTATCAAATCCAAAGATATGTGTAGTATAATGTCTCTGTCAATTTGAAATCGCATATTAATATATTCAATTGTATGGGCCCATAAATAGCAAGACGTGAAACAATTCAACAGGGACAACTGACAATGAAACTTAATCAAATGACATTAATAATTTAAAGAATAATGTGGGGTTAAACATGCTTGTGAGTACTCATTCCTCCCCTAACATAGGACAACGATGTAAAGCTTAAATATACCATTTTATTAAGAGAGAGCCCGAAATCCATTATGTCTAAAGACTGTTCATTGCTATTAAAGTTTCACGGTAGCTATGATTAAGTGGGGCGCAATTGTCGCTTGTCCAAATGTGCTGTAGTACGCAACCAAATGGTGAATTATGCTTCCTTAAAGAAATTTTACCTTCAATAATGCAATATTCGGTTATTACTTTCATTAGTTTGCATGATCCTACTATGTTAACTGCTATCATGGTTAATTTGGCATGCTTTTACTGTGCACACAGCTATCATAGTCAATTTGTCCTGATCCTACTATAAACACAGCTATCATGCTTAATTTAGCTTGATCCTACTATGTACAAAGCTATCATGGTTAAATTAGGCTGATCCTACTATGTACACAGCTATCATGGTTAATTTGTCCAGATCCTTCTATGTACACTGCTATCATGGTTAATTTGTCCAGATACTTCTATGTACACAGCTATCATGGTTAATTTAGCCCGATCCTACTATGTACACAGCTCTCATGGTTAATTAAGCCTGATCTTACTATGTACACTGCTATCAGGGTTAATTTGGCCTGATCCTATTATGTATACAGCTATCATTGTTAATATGGCCTTATCCTACTATGTACACAGCTATCATGGTTAATTTAGCCTGATCCTACTATGTACAAAGATATTATGGTTAATTTGGCCTTATCCTACTATGTACACAGCTATCATGGTTAATGTAGCCTGATCTTACTATGTACAAAGCTATTATGGTTAATTTGGCCTTATCCTACTATGAACACAGCTATCATGATTGATTTAGCCTAATCCTACTATGTACACTGCTATCATGGTTAATTTGGCCTGATCCTACTATGTACACAGCTATCATGGTTAATTTGGCCTGATCCTACTGTGCACACAGCTATCTTGATTGATTTAGCCTGATTCTACTATGTACACTGCTATCATGGTTAATTTGGCCTGGTCCTACTATGTTTACAGCTCTCGTGGTTAATAAGGCCTGATCTTACTATGTACACTGCTATCATGGGTAATTTGTCCTGATCCTACTGTGCACACAATTATCTTGATTGATTTAGCCTGATCCTACTATGTACACTGCTATCATGGTTAATTTGGCCTGATCCTACTATGTACACTGCTATCATGGTTAATTTGGCCTGATTCTACTATGTGCACAGCTATCATGGTTAATTTAGCCTGATCCTACTATGTACACAGCTATCATGGTTAATTTAGCCTGATCCTACTATGTACACAGCTATCATGATAAATTTGGACTCTAACTATTCACATGTCAAAGGTTGATTTCTTGTCGTGTCTTTACTATTCACACATCTTTGATTAAAAATGTTTTATAGTATTCACATAATATTTATATTTATATAATATGTCTGATAATATGTCTACAAGCCAGTTGCTGTAGCATCTTTTTCAGTATGTTATGTTGTGACTCAGTTCATACGAGGGATGCAGTTTACATAATTATTAGTAATCCGTTGAATTACAAAAAAAAGTCAATAAGTAAAGTTTGGATTAGATTTCCCTTTCATATCGTATTCGCTTTTTCGCTTTCTCGATGAATCACTACAACTATATACAACAATGCACAATTGTAGAAATATAACTCCACACAAGCTTCCAACTACAATCCAGAAATTCTGCTTAGTGTAAAAATCTGGAAAAAAAAATAAACATGTATAATGGTAATGTCATAATTAAAAAAAAAACAAATGCAGCACAGCACGAATTCGTTTCGGTTTTTGTGTAAATATGATGGAAACGTCACAAAATTTTTTATGTTGCCTTGTCACACGGATACTAGTTAATAATTTTCAAGATGTCGCTGGAGTATTTTTTTTCTTTTAATTAAGCTATGAACAGGTGTATTTTCCTGGCTCAGATTCACATAATATGCTCGGAGGATTGGTCGGAGACTTGTTTAAAATTTGCATTTTCAAGTACTAAGCTTAATTACCAACGTAACCGACCATTGTATCTTAAACGTACCTTAATAATATTCGCTGCGCGTATATGACAGTCAAAATGGTCATTTTTTCAGCTTGAATTTTATTTATTTGGCAATGGTAAACTAGTAATTTGCTTCTTTTAGATATAGATACTTGGTTGAGCTAATCGTTTATAGAGACATTTTTTTCTATTCCATCATTTTTTATCATTATTTCAAAATCATGTTGGTTTCGGCTTTCAGGTTGCACTTTGTAAATACAGCTATTTCACAAGCCCCGCCTCTTTAGGGGAGATATATAATATTCATAGATATTTTGTTTTGTTTACGTACTGGTTCCCAGATATGATCTCTATGTTTCATCTCATAGAGAAATAACTTGGGAATGTTACCATGTTACCAGTATAAAAACACATGGTAGCGGTGAAAAATGAATTCTGAGGAATACCCAAAGTGACGGTAGGGGTAGTACAGAATTTTAGTATAAGTTTAAACTCTTAGAAGTTCGGGCATATAAATGTTGAAAATATGCCGCACAGCCCTATGTTTTGACCTTTGAATAAAAAAGTAGTGCATATCAACTTTAGTTCTAGAATATAATTTTTTACGAAACTTTATAGTAAAAGTGGCACAGCTTTAGCCGCAAAGGGAGTTCCTATGGGAAATTGCATTGTCTATATTTAAGTGCAACTTGTTCACTATTTCTTTTTTTCAAATTGTGTGCCATCTTGTGCGGTTATGTGATTTCAATCTACGCAGATACTATTTCTGAATACGCTATCTTACTATTTTGTTAATTCCTACAAATTTTTAGTTTATTTAACAATGTGTTGTTGGGCTGTTGTCTTAGTTACGTTTACGTCTGAACAGAAACAACACTTATATTCGGAATCAGTTTTTTTTTAAAGTGTGTTTATGCAAATTAACCTCTGGTAATTTTGTGTTGTTGTAATATATGACATATTGAAAAATATCAAGTAAATAATATCATTATAGGAAAATACATTTCCGTTTGATTAAAATGACCGAAAAAGTTACCCTCAAAACCCCTCTTTCTGCCAATAAAAAAAAAAAGAAAACGACGACAAAAATATCTTCTTCAATGGATGTTAGTTTCAATCAAAATAATACACAATTCAAACAAAAGATAATCATAACCCTGCCACTGACCAAGGTTAACAGGGAGATGAATGATTATTAGACTAGTTTAAACACGCTACATGTCCTTTTATGGAAATTTAAAGATTTAAATTATAGTTTATACGATAAGATGATTCCTGCCTACGTCAGATGAGTTATTTTTAGAATATAAAAAATTGAGAGAACAGAGATATTTTTAGAAAATTACTGAGAGAACATTGTAGCCAATCAGATAGGAGATATAAGGAAAGTATTAATCAGCCCGTTTTTAGCTGCCAGTTCATCGTAGCAGATTTTAATTTTGTTTTGAATTAGTTAATTACAAAAGAATAAGTTTGTTGGAAATTTCAACTTGCCTATGCTATGAACTATAAGTGTTGGCTTATTTTGACTATATTGTTAAAAGATGTTTTTCCTGTTTAATGTGAAAAAATCAGGAAAAGGATCATGAGAATAAACTTGGGACAATCCACGTGTTTGTATAACGAAGAAGTCTTCATTCATACGAGATGTGCTTTTTAATATTTTGATTTGGAGTTAATCATTCAAAGAATTGAGGTCTGTTTATTTATTTATTTATTCATTTATGTTGCATTTGAACATTGCATAATTACACGTGTACTGACACAATGGGTCCGATTAGGAGAAAGAAAAACAATAATGTTTATAATCCTACATTGCTTGAAAATTGGACAATAGCTAGACTGAAAGCAGAGTTAGATAAGAAGAATATCGCTTATCCAATCAATGCAAAACGTATGACATTAGTACGTATTTTGAGACGAAACGACAATGCTGATAGTGAAGGTATCACATCAAACACAACAAACGCATGTGGCAAAGAAGCACGTGGTGAGGAACCCATAAATGGTAGTGCGGTATGCCATAATGTATTGCCAATGCAAAACGCACGTGGTGATGAGAGTGCGCGATCCCATGATGCACCTAGCACAAACAATAACAACGAAAACACGCCCAGTAATGACAATCGAGTTTTGATTGGAATTGTTTCTAAATTATCAACAACAGTTCAATCACTTCAACAGAATTTTTCTGGATTAACAGGAAAGGTTAATTCATTACTTCAAGCCAGATCAAATGAAAATACAAATAGAATCGTAGAAACACCTCCCAGCAGGCACAAAACGTTGTATCAACGTTGATCCAATGTCAGACTTCAACGTTGTTACAACGTTGAAACTTGGGTTAGATTTGAAAGTTGAGATGACGTTGAAATTCTGACGTTGAATCAACGTTGCAGTTTCAACGTTATAATAACGTTGATAACATGTTGAAATCGGGTCCAGTGAGGTTGAAATCAGGTCTTGGTTAGGTTGAAATCAGGTCGGGTTTAGGTTGAAATCAGGTCGAGTTAGGTTGAAATCAGGTCAATTGAAGGTTGGTTGAAGTTAGGTAAAGTGATGGTTCTCAGGTGTAAATTAATCCTTATTGGCACGTGTTCAAATACAACAAAAAGATATCTGAATTATGAAATAACAAAAGCCATTTTTTTATTTCAAGTTACAATAGTTCTTTTCTCAACAAGTGACAACTCTAAAAATAGAACAGTCGACAATAAAAATCAAAACAAAAGAGGAGAGACAGTTAAAATATCAAGATTTCATTTGAAACCAAGTATTTCAATATCAGCAAAGCTTTCTTTTCTAGCACATCAATTTCTCTAAGCAAAGGAACACATGTATCAACTTACTACACATTGTTTTAATTCTGGTTGATCAAGTTTTCGAACTTATTCAAAAACATGTAAATGCAGCAAGTTTGACACAGTGACACAAAATGCCTTCTTTGTTTAATGTGAATACATAGCAGGACCATTTAAAAACAAAAGATCTCATTTTGAGTTTTGTTATCCGATATTTAGTTCTATTTTTGTCTTTTTTTTCATTTTTATTGATATCATGTCGATCTCAATTTTGACTTTTTGTGGGTATACCGGATATGTGGTTTTTTTACATTTATCTTTAAGGCTTTTTGAACAAACCATAACATCATCAAGCTGTTTACTCATTCAATCATTATCTATACATCCGATACAATTGAGTAAACCGAACAAAAAGATGCAGAACACCAAATAATGTATTTCTTAATTTCACTGCCTTTTTTACTGGCACTAAATTAACTAGAGAAATTAAAAAAAGAGGTTTTTAAAATGAAAAAAATATTTTATTTTAAAAGATCTATTCTTTAGCCTGGCAACTCGTTCTGCTCTCTGTGGGGCACACTTCAAATGTTTTGTACACTGCTTAGATATTTTGGATTCTGTTATCTCTTTGTGGCAGACTAGAACAGCATCTGAAAGCATGGAAGAGAATGAACATAAATTTGAATTACCTAATAAAAGTTGTGTACTAAAGCCGGAAATGTTATCAAATTCTACCAATAACAAAAAAAAAAATATTTCAAATCATAAAACGCAACATGTCCATTTGAAACAATTGTCCAAGCTTACATCAATAACAAGTCAAAGCATGAATTCTAACCAGATCTGTGTTTTGCAATAAGCATAATGTTCATATACAGATGAAACGAACAAAGATGACTGGTATATTACGATAATACCAAAAAGACCAAAACAGTACTTAAGAGCGTCCAATTCTGTGTGTGTCAGACACACCCTATATGATATCGAGTTGTATTGGAACGAATTGGCTAGTATTCGATGACCCCTCCCCCTTTTCTGGTATTACTGATTCTGTACATGGCTAGCCATATGTTTTATGTTAGTTTGCTAATTGGAGGATATATGCAAACAAATCATTAAACTGTTTTGACACGAAAATGAATCAAATTCAGTAAGATAAGACCTTATCACAATTTCTGTGAACGTAAACATGGTAAACATGCAGATAAATAATTTGAACATTTGAATGTGTTTGTATATATTATGATTCTTCCTTAAACTAACTGTAAAATATTCTTACACTAATATCAAGAGGTTTATACAGAAAAGTCTTCTCTTGTCTTTATATTCCTTTCACTATTTGTTTATCAGCCTGTTGCAATAATATCTCGAGGTTAATTTTCAAAATTTTCTAAACGGATGTTGAATCGAGGTGCGCGTGCTTGCGTGCGCATCCGAAAGAAAATTTTCGCAACTCAACTTGAAATACCGCGAAAATTTAAAAACTACTCAATTATTATACTGAATACATTGTACATCGATGATATTTTTAGATCATATATATATTAAATATTAATCAATAAAAAATAAATAATATAAATAAACTGAAAAATTTCTCTTATTTATTTAATTGAAAGAAAGCAACTTATAAAATCGATTTGATTTTAAAAATATAAACTAAGAACATATCATATTCATACAGATATACATATAATCAAAATAGCATGAACAGGCTTTGAGATTCCCCCCAAAAATGGAGAATCATCAAACACAAATTACTAAATATTTGATTTCAACAGTTTTTTTTAAAAGATACCTAAAAAATAAACACAAAAAAAATTAAAGGGAAAAAGCAGATGTGTTATTGCTGATGTCTCCTGACTCCTTGTTATTGCGCAAAACTCCTTTCCATGCATAAACAGTCCGG